AATTTTCACTGGGGTTTAATTTTCATTGTTTTAGAGGTATGGAGACACCTACAAATCTATGTCCACCACAAAACGTAAAATTTCATATGCATTACTATTTTTCATTCTCAAACCATGATATAAAAAAAACCCACAAAACAATAATAGCCCAGAAGAATTTAACCCATGAAAATATGTAATTTTACATTATAAATATCAATTGAATTCATGCTCTTTGGAATCATTAAAGTTCGTGAGGGCCAATTTTTGTGCGTTGCTAAAATTTTACAGGTTCATGGGGACATAATTTTGTGTATTCTCTTTAAAGTTCGTGAGGGCCAATTTTTGTGCGTTGCTAAAATTTTACAGGTTCATGGGGACATAATTTTGTGTATTCTCTTTTGCCTACTAAGGAAGTATGACTTAGTAACCAGAGTTTAAAACATTTTTGTGACGTCATCTTTTGTTAAACCTGGTTCAATAAATTTGTTATTGTCCTGCACCCCGTCCAATAAGTTACCTGTAGGTGTCCAATAAGATTCAACTTATTGGACAGGTACAGGTAACGTTAAAATGAGAACAAAGGGCGAGGCAAATAAGTAAACACCATTTAAACGGCAATGACAAATCAAACAATTTAATATGAACAATGTAGGAAAACAATATATGTTAATATTTCACAAAAAAATCCTATTGAAAATGGCACAAATAATCCAGTGAATTGAATGTCTCAGATATATTATTGTAAACGCATCCGTGGTTCCGATCATAAATTTTCCTAAATTCACCGTTCATTGCTATATAATAGATTCATTTCACAATGATTGATCCACGGAACATATATACAATCCAATAGACACAAAAGATGAATGAGAAGCATGCGTTTTCTTACACACAACCTTGGGCTTTTCGTTTATTGAAATATCCATTTTTCCGCATTTAGCACAAAATTTAGCTCACGAAATTCCAACGGAATCTGTAATTTCGTCCGGTGATTTATGATAATTTGTCCACCTAGTCCTGCGTCGTTTAAGCGAGTATCTGTCGTTTTAAGGAGTGGCTGGAGTAAAAGCCTTCCGAGTTCGAAACCTGCTCACAAAAGAGAATTGCATTTTTAAAAAATACATCAGGAATAATCTCCCAATTTCATAGAAAATGCTTAAACAGTTGTTTGAGTAAAATCCTTCAATTCCTATTAATTTACAAAAATTACCTTTTAACGGGAACTGTATTTTGCAAATTCCGAAACATAAGAATATATATCCGGATTACACAGTAAAAACGTGAACTGAGGCATCTTGGTGTAATAGATAAATGGCATCGTCAAAACACCCGATTCTGAAGGTTTTTTTTTTCGAATTAAATGTACGTCTTCTTCCGTGGTCTTTGCGTTGTAAAATGAATAAATTGTAAAGAATTTAGTAGAACTGACTTTTACGCAAGCGTAGTATATATAAAAATGTCGCAGTGCGGATAAATAAGACTAAACAAAGTTAATGTTCATATTTATCGATATAAAACACCTCTCGATGATTCCAACTATTAATAAAGACTGAAGAAAACCCAAAACTGGTTTTCTTTGGCCTAACTGGATGAACAGTGCCAGGTAGTCATCCAAGCAGAACGAGACCTTACCTGTGGCTGTCCAATAAGTTAACAATGGAAGTGTTCGACAGTGGTGAAATGTTTTAAGTAAGTTATAAGCCTCAAACGGACCATTATGTCAGATATTAGACTCTCCTCAGTGCTAACGCACCTCGGGTCGTCTAATATCTGACATAATGGACAGTTTTCGGCTTATAACCATTACTTATCAATTCACTGAGGTTATTAATTAATGGATAAGAGGTACCCACCAATTCCATAAAATTGAGCCACTATGAAAATCCAGTGATTCCTCAGTTTATAATAGTTTTGCTGCTGCTGGATTTTCTATATGTATATTTATACATGTATATTAATCTATATTTTTCAGATACTATACTAAGATGGCAGATCCAATATTTCAAAATGTTTTGGATGTTTATAAACAGAAGAAAATTATAATTTCAAAAGCACATTCTTGTGATCATTTAGGAGTCCAGTCACCGAGGGGAGAAATCGAGAGAGCTTTATATGGCATCCATGTCTTAAACAATCTCACATCTTATTCCAGTTGTCTAGACTTCATCGAGAAAATCCCAGACATACCAGGCATTGCGTTCAACGAGGCTAGAAAGATCTTCATTCATCAATTTGTAGAAACATTCTCACCGGTTTCACATCTGGGACATAATCTGTATGTACATGCTTTGGTGGATGAAAATGAAGACGTTCTCGGTGGACTTGAGAGATACTGCTTTGTAGATTTTACTTTGTTTGAAAACCCTCTTCATTTAGCTGTAGAGTGTCATCTTCTTCCCATGATGGAATTTTTAGTGAACGTAAAGGGAATGGATGTGAATTGTATTGATGACAAAGGTAACACACCACTGCATTACTTGATGAAATATAATCATCGAGAGAATATGAAGCTTAAAAGGAAGTTCGATAGAAATTTATTCTATAAAGTTCTGAACTTTTTAAAGAGCAAGGGTGCCAGGTTATTAGTCCGTAACAAAAAGGGAAGAACACCGCTACAGTATGCCATCATATATAAACACATTACAGACATTAATGAGTTCATTGATACATATAGTGATTTCAGCGACTTCAATCATGAAACTCGTATAGAAATCTTGGAACTTTATGCAGCAAAGCAGATATTCAGTGTCGATGAGAATGAATCCATTGGAGGAGTAAATATGTACAAACGCGCTTTGGTTGAAAGAAGAAAACACAGTATTCCAAATACTAGCAAAATGCCCCCAAGGGAAATTTTCTTTGAGAGTGTAGTAGAACCTGATACAGAAAATTCTGAGTTTTTGGACTTAATCTGCACTGCAGGAGAGAAGAAGAAAAGGCTTAGTCTTGGCCTCCTGATTTATGAAAGAATTTTAGGATGTGGCAATTTTTGTTATTTGAATGGATGCAATATGTATTTAAACCTTTTACGTAAAGGAGTTTGTGAGGAAAATATGGTGACCCATCATCTTTTGAAGAGTTTGAAATATCATTTCAATTTCCTGAAAAATGAAAAGGTTTTGGAAAAAAGGCTCAATACTTTTTATGATATGAGGTCAGCAATAAAAAGTTATGAAGATCCTTGCAGTGTTGCCAATGTAACTCAGAGACCCGTCCATCTAAATCACTTTTACTGTAACAGTGACAAATACACAACGAAAGAATTATTGGATGTGTTGATGTTTTTCCATGTGAGTGCTTTTCAGATGAAGATGGAACTTTGTGTTTTACCTTCTGAAGAGGATAAACTTGATTTATTATATGTCATGGACACTATTTTATCAAGAAGCTTATCTGCTGAAGATACCTGCAATCTAAGGAAGGCGATGGAGGCCATAGTCAGTGCATGGAATTCCAGCAAGTGTGGACCAATTGGATTGATGCATAGTATCGTGTGTCCGATGTTGCTACTGGACAGTGATTATAAGGACGACGATCATAAATTTAGTCATGGTCCAGAAATTATGGAGATGATCTTAGACAGTGGAGCCTCAATTCACGAGTTAAATGAATTAAAATTGAACATTCTGCATTGGTTTTTTACAACTAGCATTGAAAATTTTGAGGAAAATATATATCAGTGTTTTCCCGAAGACGAAGTTGAAAGTACGAACGGTCAACTTAGGAGAATTGTTAAGATTGCAGTAGAGAGAGGACTGCATGTTGATCAGAGAACTAATGAAGATCATGCATTTCAAACTGCACTGGATCAAGCTGGGGGCACAGAATTTTATCCTATTCTGAATAATCCCAAGTACCGAAGTCTTAAATGTCTTGCAGCATCTGTTATTATAGAGGAAAACATTCCCTATAGAGATGAGATTCCATCAGAACTTGTACATTGGATTGATTTTCACATGGGAAATAGAGAATTTCCTAATTGAGTTCATTTCTGCATTTTTTGTTTTGATTATTCACTGACTTAACCTGTATATATATCCAAGTTGTGTAAACTTTGTTTGTTGCTCATCACGTGTATATAATTTGTTTTGTTTTTTGTTTGTGTTGGAGAGGACATTCTAAGTTGGCATAAATTGTGTCCAATCCCATTGATTATGTTTCAATAAAATATGTTTAAATCAATCGTGTAAACTCAATTTTTCCATAATTGAAGATATCGATCTTTCATTATTTGGATATTGATAATACCTGAAATAGGGATGAATTAATGTATGTTGAATGAAAGACTATTGTAAACTAGTTCTTTATTTTATATAAATAAATATTTACTAGTATTAATTGAATTGGTGATGTCATTTTCATTCAATTGAACATGTGCATGCAGCAATACATTGCAGGCAATATATTTTTTTTGATGATCGAGCACAAAAATCAATTAAAGTAAATATTTTGCACATTAACTCAAAAAATTTAAAGGGAGCAAAAATTCAATTATTGCACTTAAAATGATATCAATTCATTTAATGCTTTAATTTAATTGATGCTCGCATATGTAAAACTTAACGATATGGCCTCTCCAATTAATAATTAAATACAATGCATCTCTTTCGTTAAGTACATGTTAGACTTTAAGCATTTTAAAAATATGGAATTCAACATGAATTAAACTGTTTAATTAATGAAAGGACATTATTATTATTATTTGAAATGGAAGTGTCTGCTTTCTATCAAAAGCAATAAATAATTCTATATTGTTAAATAGATTAATGAAATGGTAGATGTTTTATTATATATATATAAATTATTTTCTGCGCCATAAGCATTAATTCGCACAGTAGTGGAGATAACTGGTAATCTTTTCAATATAATTTGCATGGATACGCTTAAATATAAAAGCTATAGAAGAAAGAGATGTGCACCTCGTAAATATTTCTGCGCGAAATATTTCTCGTACAACCTAGCTGAAATATTGTTAAGTAAAACTAAAATTGTACTTTCACTTTGACTTTTTTCACATCTCTGTTAGCTTTAAAGATTAAAGAATAACCGAAAATGAATGCAATTATTTCATTGAACTACAGCAGTTTGGAAGAAATTCCAGAATATTTGACGAGCTCACATGTTACGACGGAAATCCAGCATTTGTACATGAAAGGAAACCGATTAACCTCAGTGGTAACACAGGGACTTGCTCCTGGCGTGTAAAAAATATTTATGAAAAAAAAACGATATATACTATAAAAGTTTTATAGTATATATCGTTTTTTTAAAAAATATTTTTTACACGCCAGGAGCAAGTCCCTGTGGTGGTAATTTACTTAAAAACCCAGTGTACAATACTTGTCATCCTTGTCCTTAGATACAGATAATATACAGAAAATAGCTCTTTACGATCTTACACAAATTTGACCACTTTGAAAAGAATTATGATTAATGCATACGTGAGCAGGTTTATCTAGATTATTTTGTTTGAAGAATCAAGTACGTACCATTTTACCCATGAAAGTCATATCATTTGCACAAATTTACATCTCAGAAAAAAAAATTCGCAGTCATTGTTATTTATATATGTTGTAACTTTATTCTTATTGATATGCACAAACTATGAGTAGTTTATCCAAATGAAAATTTTAATGTAATTATGAAGCCCATTTCTGATTGTTCAACTTTGCTAGTCATGCACTGTTTCAAATTTTTTTCAGCCACAAACAATCAACAGACTTGTCCACCTTACAGTGTTGTAAGTAAAGAAGTTTAGAAAAAATTAGATAACAAGAAAATGCATGAGTTTACAGACCTTGTCAGTTATTGGTTAACCTTGGCCTTTGACCCCGGTTTAGCATTTATAATACCTGACTCAGTTTGACTGGGTCTCTATAGTTCATTATCTTTATCAGATACAGTAAAAAAAAAGAAGATAATTTTCAACAATTATGGTCCATCAAAGGCCCATATGCTTATAAATTTGATATTACACTTATGTACAATTAAAATTTATATTTCATGTTTTCCCTTTAAGTTTTTTTTGTAAAAAACTAAAAGTAGTATTCTTTCAAGTCAGAACTATACAAAAGCAATTAAAATACAGCTGAACTTTGTATCTAGAACACTGATATGATCTCAAATACCATGAATGTGTCGAAGTGATTTGGAAGACTCCTTAACCCTTATTCTTTAAGTATTTTACCTTGGATATCTCGACACCTTGAAGGTTTTTCTCAGTCCATTTGAGTTGAAAATAACCAGGTATGACTATGTCTTGCACAGCTCATTTCTAGGGAATATAAATTGTATTTTTAGGTATCTGCAAAGCAACAGAATTGAAATTCTTCCAAATAGTAAGTACAGTAAAACTTATTTAATACAAACATGGATATAGGGAATTGACGGATATCGCGAAGTTATCTTGGATCCCTGGCTATATAAATTTAACAAATTCCTTATACTTATGTATCAAATAATGGATATAGAAAAATAATTTCATAGGTCCCAGTGACTTCGTTATAACCGAGTTTTACACTACTTCTGTAAACCAGAATAAATAACATATATGCATAAAAATGATACTTTTACTTAAGTGCCAAAATATAATTAAAAGGATTGACAAGTGATTTAAAAATCTACCGATTGAAAAAAGTATTATTTGTCACCATATCAAAGTAGAGTTCAGCTTTATTGCACCTTTTATTCATGTCTGAATTCCATGAGAATATAGATTTTGGGGCAGGTCTGTGCATTCTCAAATAACTACATGTTCGTACTACAGTGTATAATCTATAATCTACAGTTAGGCCTTATTTAACCATATGCCAGCTAGACTAAGTGTTTCTGAACAAATTGTCCAGATTAATGAAGTATCCAGATTACTGAAATGTAATGAAGTTATAACATACAGTTGAACTTAGATATCTCGAATTCCAATATCTGGAATACAATGGATATATCGAAGTGATTTGGAAGTCCCAACCACTTTTTCTTTAAAGTATAATTCACCTTGGATGTTTTGAATTATCAGATATCTTGAGGTTTTTCATAGGTTCCATCGAGTTCAAGATAACGAGATTTGACTGTAATTTGTTGCCTACAATTTGCAGTGGTGAAGGTGAAGCCTTTGGAGTATATTGACATTCAGATTAACAAGGCTCCACTTTACAGGTTGTATATTTCTTTCAGGTATTGGTTCCTTGAAGACTCTGGAACAATTAGATGTCAGCTTTAATTATATTGAAAGACTGCCAGAACAAATTGGTTATTTACAGAATCTAAAACGATTGTACGCTTTCAGCAACAGATTAAAGCAACTTCCTAAATGTATGTTTTTATTTTAATCACAGCTCACCTTTCTTAAATCAGCTCCCCTCTCCACCAAATCAAGCTGGAGTCAAAATGTAGATTTTTCAAAAAATGTATGTGTATAAATAGGAAAAAGATGTTATGCACAATTTCTTTTGTCAGATTGATGTGTAACATTCTTCCATTTACTTCAAAATTTGCATTCTGGAACAGCAATATTAATTATAAAGGCAAAGCTACAAAAAAAATTAGAGATAAATTCCCTACTGCAGGAAAAGCAAAACAAAATTTGTTAATGAATGTAAAATGCAAGCAATAACCGGTTCTTGGTTTGATAAAACAACAAGATGGTTCTCTCGGGTGTGGATCCAATTTATTTTGGTATAGGTTCAAATCAGATAAGATCAGATAAGATTCAACCCTACAATAACAGTAACATGTAAGCACATACACACACAAAGCAATACAAAGACAATACAAACAGATAATCACATCTTTAACACATTCATTTATAGTTCATTTACATTTATACCTTTTAAAATAATTAGGTCACACTTCACTCAGTTTAATTAGCTCTTTGGACCATTATACTTTACTTCTAGTTCATAGAAATAACTTATAAACAATATTTACATTAATCAATCTGATCAATACACAAACACATACCCATTTATGGAATAAGGTGAATTCCTAACTCCTAGCTAAACCAATCTGACTTCACTTCAAATATATCTGACCTAATTAACAATACGTAAAATTATAACAAACTCTCAAATCCTTTATTTAGGATGCAAGAATAGATTAAAATAGTTAACTTGCTTTTTATAGATCTTTACCAATCTTTATATACATTCCTTACACACACTCACACTTTATTTAGCAAGTTTAGATTAAAATGAATTATTTAGATTTCTCATTCATTAAGAAATTATTTAGATACTTATTTAGTAGTTTAATTATTTATTAAATTACTTACAGGAATAAGGGTGGTGTCTCCAACACTATGAAATCACTATATACATGTACACCCTTCAAAAACCAGTTTTCAGAATAAGGGAAATCATTATAGTAATTCCCGCCAATTCTACCTTAGAACCAATCAACTACACTGACCAATAGAAATCAATGTCCCACTACATAATGGAATAACCCATTCACAACATTACCTGGTAGTCTACCTGGAATACAACACTTAACTAAATAGGGGTGTTTAGGTTTATAACAGACACTGAACAAGACAACATAGAGTGTTAGTAAATCGCATTGCGCAGCGCTGAATGAATGAGTGAATGAATGAATGAATGAATAAAATAAAGAATGAGAATAATGTGTACAATTTAAAATACATAACCTAAAAATATAAAAAGTACAACTACCACAAACTCCCCCCGCTTGAGAAATGACGTCCCTGTCATTTCATTAATCTCAGCGTAACGTCATAATCTGCTGTATACAATAAAGTCATAAAAACATAGTTGTACTAAAGTTTGGTAATCAGGTCCATGAGACCTCTCAATAAGATCAACCGTTCCTCTGAAACATCAGTATCCTCCAACATTTGTCTAAGGATATCTACTTTACTCTTACTCCTGTCATCAGTACTTACTTGGTAAACTTGATACTCCTTTAACCGTTTTGGTGGTCTTTTCTCTCTCCGTGATCTCCTTAATACTCTCTCTGTATTCTCACTTGGCTCAGAGCCATTACCCTCTTCCACCTGGGGTACAGGGTCTTCCCGGGCTACCCTCTCTGGCTCAGGCCTCTGCTCCTCTACTCTCTCAGCTTCTTCAGCTGCTTCAGCTTCCTCAGCTCCCTCAATAGTGATAACATGTGGGTCATCAGCTGGAGCTTTTCTAGCTGGTGGTACCGGTACCTTAAAATAATAGTCAACTTCCGAGTCACTGGAACTTTCTTCTACTACATGTTCCTCTCTAGCTTGATCTGTTTCTACTCTTGATGTGTTTTGCGGCTTCTTTTTCCTGGGTTTTGGTTTTGGTCTATTGGTAATCTTTTCCTGCTCATCTGGGTCGATGCATCCAATTGGCAGTAATAGATTCCTATGAAGAGTCTTAGTTCTTCCAATGCCATCTTCCCTCTTCACCACAAAGACTGGGATATCAGGATTTGGCTGGTTGTGAATCAAATAGGGCTCTTCTTCCCATCTGTCCGCTATCTTGTGCTTTCCATCGAAAGTCAAAACTTTCACTAAAACTCTGTCGCCAACCTGTAAATTTGCACCCCGTACCTTTAAATCATAGTACTTACCTTGTTTCCTCCTAGCTTTCTCTGCTGAATCCATAGCCAACTTGTATGCTGTACTCATTCTGGCTCTTAAATCAGCTACATACTTTGTTAATGACTTGCCTTCACTGTTGTTCAGCCCAAAAGCTAAGTCTACTGGCAATCGGGGCTCTCTTCCGAACATCAGGAAATGTGGGGACTGTCCGGTACTTTCATGCCTGGTGCTATTGTATGCCTGCACTAATGGTGACAAATACATCTTCCAGTTGGATTTCTGGGATGGCTGTAGTGTACCAAGCATATCTAAGAGTGTACGATTAAATCGTTCACACATCCCGTTCCCCATGGGATGGTATGGTGTTGTTCGGGACTTCTTCATTCCACTTATCTGACATAGTTCTTTAATGATATTTCCGTCAAAGTTTGCTCCTTGATCGCTGTGTACCCTGGTTGGAAAACCATATTTGGTGATGAAGTTTTGGTACAGGGCCTCAGCTGTTGTTTTTGCTGTCTGGTTTTTGGTTGGAATGGCCTGGGCAAACCTTGTAAAGTGGTCTGTTATGATTAGGATGTGATGGAAACCTCCTTTGGATTGCTCTAATGTGAGAAAGTCCATACAGACCAATTCCAGTGGATACGATGTCCGGATTGGAATAAGAGGTGCTCGCTGGTTGGTAGGAACCTTTCTTCTAAGACATCTGTGACATCTCTTAATCCATAAGTCGATATCTTGATTCTGCCCATTCCAGTAAAAACGGTCTTTGACAAGGGAGATAAGCCGATCTCTACCTGGATGACCAAAGTCGTTGTGTAGACTCTTAAGGATTACTGGAATCAAATCGACGGGTACTACTAGCTGCTTCCTAGTGGCTCCATCTATTTCCACTTTTCTCTTCAGCACTCCATCTTCTAAAATAAAAGAATGAAAGTTTCTGATTAATGCTAATGAATGATGAGTAGGTGACAATTCATCCATTCTTGGCTTCCTTCCTGATCTAACATGCTGTATCCAGTTCCTCAGTATAGGGTCTCTGTGCTGAGATGTCTCCCAGTTGATTGCCTGAAACTGAAAATTACCTGAAGGAGAATTAATCTGATTCAAAATACCTAAATCTAAAGAAAAATTCTCTACATATGGAACCTGGACTTCTATGGAATGACATAAGGCTTTGAAAGAATCTGTAGAAATAGAAGAATTTTGAATTTCAGAATTAGTAAGTCTAGAGAGTCCATCTGCATCTGAGTTGTTTCTGCCTGGTCTATACTGGATCTCCAGATCAAAGTTTGCTAAGGCGGCTAACCATCTGTGCCCTGTGGAATCTAATTTAGCAGAAGTTAGAATGTAAGTAAGTGGATTGTTATCTGTTAGTACTTTCGCCTTGCTTCCTAACAAATAATCCTTGAATTTGTCACACACAGCCCATTTTAATGCTAAAAATTCTAACTTGTGGGCAGGGTAATTCTTCTCCGCTTTGGTCAGCCCTCTGCTTGCATAACTAATTACTCTCTTCTGTCCATTCTGTTCTTGATAGAGTACTGCCCCCAGTCCATTATGACTTGCATCTGTGTGGAGTTCAAACGGGATGTTATAATCTGCATAGCCTAGGATTGGGGGTGATATTAATGCTTCTTTCAGATGGTCAAATGCGTCTTGTTCTTCTGTGCCCCATTTCCACTTCCTTTTTGCTGAACTTTTCTTAACTGTCTTCTTGGTCTCTGTTGGGTTTGGCATTAACTGGCATAATGGCTTGGCGATCTTACTGAAGTTCTTAATAAATTTACGATAATAGCCAACGAATCCCAGAAACTTCCTAACCTCCTCTGGTGTTGTAGGGGTTGGCCAGTTGATAACTTTACTTGTTTTGTCTGGATCCGTCTCGATGCCGTCGTTGGAAACAATATGTCCTACATACTTTACTCGTTTCTGGAAGAATGTACATTTTTTCTGTGATAATTTCAGCCCTGCATCTCTCAGCTTGTCAAAAACTTGTTGTAGTCGATTCAGATGTTCTTCGAATGTCCTAGAGAAAATGATGATGTCGTCTAGAAATATAAAACAGATGTTCAGATGCAAATCACCGAGGCAGTCTTCCATTAGGCGTTGGTATGTTGCCGGGCTGTTCGATAATCCAAATGGCATTCGGTTGTATTCATAAAAACCTAGTGGGCCTACCGTAAATGCTGTTCTCTCTTTTTGACTTTCCTCAATTTCTATTTGGTGGTAACCCGATTTAGCGTCCAATACAGTAAAGTAAGAATTTCCCGATAAGCTGTCTAAAATATCTTCTATTCGGGGAAGGGCGTATGCATCTTTCTTTGTTTTGTTGTTAAGCTGTCTATAGTCTACGCACATCCTCAACTCTCCGTTCTTCTTTCTAACTAGTACAACGTTGCTGGAGAAGGGTGATTTGGATCGTCGTATCACTCCTGCTTCCATAAGTTGCTGTAGATGGTCCCTAACTTCTTTATACATGTTTGGTGGAATACGTCTGTGTCGTTGCTTGAATGGCATTTCATCTGTTAATTCTATCTTGTGTTTCACTGTTGTAACATGCCCAATATCTGTATCTCCCTTCGAGAACATGTCCTTGTTTCTGTTGATCATTTCTTGTGCTTCTAAGTATTGGTCTCTGCTTAAGTTGTCTTCAGCAATATTGAATGCTTCTTTCTCTAATGTACTCTCAGGTGTTGATTGCTCTGATAATTCTTGAATAGTTACTGGCTGAATTTCAGCTATAATAGAATTTGGCTGAATCCTGACTGTTCTTGTTGTCACATTGCTGACTGCTACTGTAACTGGTTCTCGCGTCTGATAATCAAAGTCTATAATCTTTGGAATTATATCCAAGTCCTTTGGTATGGCTGATCTCTGAGTGGCCTGTATAAGAGCAACTGTCTGATGGTAGGGAACTATCTTATCAGTAAATCCCTCAATGGTCACTTCACAGTTTGGTGGGATAGTTACTGGCTCCCTCTCAGCAGATTTGATGACTCCTATCCTGTAGCCATTTTTGAGTAACTCTTTCTCTCGGACTGTCAAACATCTAAATGTTGAGTACCAAGTAGTGTGAAGATCTGTCTTCTGTAGGAACCGCTCACCATGAGTCTCCTTACAACCATCCATTATCATGTTAAGAATATTGGTCCCTAAGAGAACTGGAACGTTCCTATGGTAATTGGTATCATCTACGAGAAGAAAACATCCAGAATGAACTGTATTATTTTCTAATCCTGGTGATGATATCTGTAAATCTATGACTCCTTTGTACGGTAAATGACTTCCATCTGCACACTGGAGTTGAAATGTTTCTTGGATACTCTGAATATCGACATCTTGTAAAAACTCATCATAAAAGGACTGGCAAATTGTTGAAACTGTTGATCCAGTGTCCAACAAAGCATGTGTTTTAATACCATTTACAGTCAGCTCAACTTCTGTCGGATCTCCAATAATTCCTCTTTTGTGACGCTCTTTATTACTCTGGCCTACCGTCCGCGTCTCGAAGCAGGCCTGGTATAGTTTAAACGTCGGTGGTCCAGTTTGACTCTACATCCATAACTTAAATGTCCTAACTGACCACATCTGTAGCACACTATATCTCCTTCATCCTTGTTTCTATTCTGTGGGTCTACAGGTACTTGTTCAGACTCTGAATCATTACTATTGACTCCGTATCTGTCAATGTTTCTTTCTTCGTAATATCCTCTTCCTCTTGACGCAAATCCTGAATACTGACCTCTTCCTCTAGATGCAAAGCCTGAATACTGACCTCTTCCTCTAGATGGAAAGCCTGAATACTGACCTCCTCCTCTAGATACATATCCTTGACCATATTGCCTTGTCACAGAAGGCTGCATCTGATACTTACTTCTAACGTCATTTATATCATCCTTCATTTGGTTCATCTTTGTGTCCATCTTCTGAATCATGGCTTTCAGCTCATCCATTTGTGTGTTACTTGCAGTTGTTTGTTGTATTGTAGCTTTCTTTCCCTCTTTTCTTCTCAACTTATCCTGTTCGACTTTCCTTATCGCCTTTCTAAGCTCGTTAAAATCTGTACATTGTTTAAAAATATGCCCTGTAATGTCTTTCAAGTTTTCTGTGAGCCCATTCCAAAACATGTTTCTTAACATCTGGTCTGTTTTTGTTGGTGAAATTTCTCCATTCTGTATCACTTTATTCAATAGGTCTTCCAGACGACAACTCCATTCAGAAACATCCTCATTTTCCTTTTGTGTTGCACTGTAAAACTGGGAAAGTAGATTTTCATCATCATCCACAGTACCGTATACACTATCAAATCTTTGTAGGATATCTACAATGTGTGCATCTGTTCCCAGCCTCATCAGAACTCGAGCTGCACCTCCTCTCAGTGAGCGTCTTATACTCTGTAGTAGAGTTGAGTCCTTTACATCATCTTTCCTCAAACATTCAACCTCGTAGCGCCACAGGTCGTAGGTAGTGTCACCCTTCTTATCACCTGAAAACACGGGTAGTTTAGGTGGATTGTTAATAATGTGGTGCTTTTCACTTGTTTCCTCGAATTGCGAGTGCGAATATTCTCCTTGAGACATCTTTGGTGTCGTCCAATGGGCATAGCTCACCATCCATGCTTTGAGATCCTTTGCAGTTTTGGCTTTGGGTTTTACACCTAGCTCTTTGAACGCACTTGCGATTTCCTTCAGTTCCTCATCCGTCATAGTATCCTGACCTTCCGGGTTTAACATGATTACACTGCGAGTATTACTTTTACCTAAATAATATATGCTAATCTATTCTAAGTAAATAAATATTTCTAAGGTTAACTAAGTAACTAATAAACTAAATCTATTCCTGTTGTAGATCAAAAGTAACTATCAAACTCTAATATATATCCTAAATTTCTAACTAAACTGTCTAATGTTCACTAATTAATTGCTATGATCTAATTAATCTCTACATCTAATTAATCTCTAAAGTTAACCTGCAAAAGAATTTGAAGAATAAATTAAATAAATACTATCAAAATCTACTAATCAAAGTTGCTATGTAATCTGAAAAAAAAAATCTGTAATAAAAAATTATCAAAATTGTAATGACAAAGAAGTTCCTGAAATGCAAATGTCAATAAATAATTTCAACAATTAATTATTTTATCAATGAACAAATGAAAAAAAAAAATGTCAGCAAAATTCTGAGTGAAATTCCAAGAAAAAAAAAACTAATTAATTAAGACTAATTAACTAATTAAGTAACTAATTAAGTGACTAATTAACTCTAAGTAACTAAGACTAAACCTCTAAGTAAGACCAAGAACCTAAATGAATTAAACTAACATTAAGTTTAAGAAACCGACACGCTAAATACAAGAAACCGACACGTACTATTGTAATTATAAAGAAACCGACACGAAAATAGCTGAAATTGAAAAATTTGTAAAGTCCGAAATTAAATTATGAATTGAAATATCAAGCAAAATATTTGCAACCGCAAAAATGAATATAAACTGCGAGATTACAAACTCTGGGGAAATAAATAAACAAATGACGGATATCAATGACCACAGACAAACTTCTCTCAGTGTTTCTTACCTAAGGTCCATCACTTGAAGTGTCTCTGCTAATATAATTCTACTGCACTAAATATTGCTGAAGTATTGCACTTGGCAGAAAAATTAACTACTTTAAACCATCATGATTCTATGTATGTAATTTCCTACTTAATACTGATGATGAGTGATTGATGAATGATCGCAGCAAGCAAGCGCAAGTTTAGTAAACACACAAGACAAGACAAAAATATTTCAATGTTGTTGACTGAGGAAAATTACTTTGGTATTTGACCTACATTTTTATAAAAACTGCAAAGTTTGGATTTGAATCTAGTTTAATGCAACAAATAATCAAATGTCAACCTTTGACTAAGAACTAGACGAACAAACCTTCAAATAATACCACTGCAGTGAGGAATCAATGAATGAAATACTCTTTTCTTTCAAGACAACGTGGTTTTGTTTACACCGGATATGGCTAAGGAATGTCAAGGGCAGATAATAAAATGTAGTTTAAGGCGAAAGTTTAATTCCGGATAAAATTGGAAAATTTAAACCTTTACGTTTATAGTAATATTTACACTTTCTCAACCTACTCTCAACTTTCTTTCAAATAATAAACAACCACAAAAAATAATTATGACAAAGACACACAAATAATAAACACAAATGCAAAATAAACAGCTATAGCAAAATGACCTTATACGTCTAAATATAGAATCAGCTGATGTCAGTCACGTTACTGGGTAATACTGTCACTGCAGTTTCACGCACGAAAGTTTGAGCTCATAAAGTATCAAATACAAACAGTCTTACCAGCTGGCGATTTCGTGATCCATGATTCTGTAAGCATACGGACTGTACGTACATTTAAACACAACACAGGCGTCACAGTTCACATCACATATGGAACGAATACACAGAACACGTGCACAATACACAAAAACACAACCACCTGTCCGCCGCACTCCAGGAATGTAACTTCCGGGAATAGTGAGTAGTAGTCAGGAGTAGTCATCGGCCACCAATCGGTTGTCTAATGCCGTTGGGCGCCATTTTTTGTAACCGGTTCTTGGTTTGATAAAACAACAAGATGGTTCTCTCGGGTGTGGATCCAATTTATTTTGGTATAGGTTCAAATCAGATAAGATCAGATAAGATTCAACCCTACAATAACAGTAACATGTAAGCACATACACACACAAAGCAATACAAAGACAATACAAACAGATAATCACATCTTTAACACATTCATTTATAGTTCATTTACATTTATACCTTTTAAAATAATTAGGTCACACTTCACTCAGTTTAATTAGCTCTTTGGACCATTATACTTTACTTCTAGTTCATAGAAATAACTTATAAACAATATTTACATTAATCAATCTGATCAATACACAAACACATACCCATTTATGGAATAAGGTGAATTCCTAACTCCTAGCTAAACCAATCTGACTTCACTTCAAATATATCTGACCTAATTAACAATACGTAAAATTATAACAAACTCTCAAATCCTTTATTTAGGATGCAAGAATAGATTAAAATAGTTAACTTGCTTTTTATAGATCTTTACCAATCTTTATATACATTCCTTACACACACTCACACTTTATTTAGCAAGTTTAGATTAAAATGAATTATTTAGATTTCTCATTCATTAAGAAATTATTTAGATACTTATTTAGTAGTTTAATTATTTATTAAATTACTTACAGGAATAAGGGTGGTGTCTCCAACACTATGAAATCACTATATACATGTACACCCTTCAAAAACCAGTTTTCAGAATAAGGGAAATCATTATAGTAATTCCCGCCAATTCTACCTTAGAACCAATCAACTACACTGACCAATAGAAATCAATGTCCCACTACATAATGGAATAACCCATTCACAACATTACCTGGTAGTCTACCTGGAATACAACACTTAACTAAATAGGGGTGTTTAGGTTTATAACAGACACTGAACAAGACAACATAGAGTGTTAGTAAATCGCATTGCGCAGCGCTGAATGAATGAGTGAATGAATGAATGAATGAATAAAATAAAGAATGAGAATAATGTGTACAATTTAAAATACATAACCTAAAAATATAAAAAGTACAACTACCACAAAAATAATACAGTATCTTTATTTATGTACAGGATGCATCAACATTTTGTCAATTTTAAAAGTATATATTCATGTTTTATTTATGTAAAATTTCAGCTATTGGCGCTCTGAAAAATCTTGAAGTTTTGGGAGTTATGAAAAATGAAATATCAGCCCTTCCAGGAGAACTTGGTGGTCTGATGAATCTGAAAGAACTAAATGTGGACAGCAACAACCTAACAAATCTTCCCAAGGAACTCTGCAACCTCAGCAATCTACAGGAACTGTCTGCCTCCAATAACAACCTGATCACCCTCCCACAAGGCATGTATACGTAACTGGCAGATTTAGAGGGGGAGGGGACCCAGCCCCCCTTTTGTGTCCAAAACATACATACGATTTAATCAATTTTTTTTCAGTTTGGCTGTTGGCCCCTACCCGACCCCAAACTGGTTGCCTTCCCCCCCCCCCTTTTCAAGATTTCTGGATCCGCCACTGTACATTTAAAAAAAAGGGACCCGTGTAGGCCTAAATGTTCACCTGAGTATCACAATGGAAGGTGTGACACTCGGGTGAATTGTTAAATTTTCTTTTTTCACGGAAAAAACTCTTTCAAATCCTGTGAGTCATGACCTACATTAGGCCTCCCGGGCATCGATCATCTAGTAGATACAAACATTCAATTAATTATATATATAGGATCTCACATGATTTGTAGTTTGATTTGATTATTATCCAATGAGTTGTGGATTTTATATTCCCAAGTCTTTGCAAGGGGGTAAAAACACACAACAAGTTGGATAAAAATCATATCTAGCTACAAATCATGTGAGATTCTTTTTATCCCATGTTTTATACAACACAATCAATGTTTGACACTGTTTTTATATAGGAGTTCACTTCATTTTACTTCATCACCCTAATGCAAAACCCACTGTGACGTCACAGCTGTGGGATATGAAAACGATATCATACGAGTTATAACCATGGGATAAAGTGGGGGTAGGGTGGAGCCACAATGGCCGATCAAAGTTTAACATAGACATGTATAGGAAAATTCTTTAATAATCATTTTCTCAAAAATAGCAAAGCATGATTGGTCATGAAACTGACTTTTAGATTTAAACTTTTCAATAATAAACCAATTTCTACTTTTTCCTAGCCACAATGCTCAGGTGAGCAATGTGGCCCATGGGCCTCTTGTTTTTACCTACTGTTATTTGTACTAACTCTTATCTTTTCTATTTTATTTTTTTTTTTTTGCAGACTTAGGACTGATTCAAACTCTAGTCAATATTTTTGTGGATAATAACCCTTTTTTGAACTGGCTTCCAATGTCTGTATAGTCAAGAATTCATAAAATGAAGATTGGACTAAATAGGTATGTAAAATAAATTTTTGGAATCTCTGAACCCTGGAGAGTTCTAGTTTCAGTGTAGTTTAATTAATGGAATTATGCAACATTTCAAGAATACCCTCAGATTTTAATAATCAATCAATCATCTGTATGACAACCTATCACAGCTAGACATGTGACTACTGTATGTTATAAAACATGTTTTATATATATAATTATACATGTATACTGATGCTTAGAGTCAAGTGATTTTCATTCTCTATAACTTTAAAATATATTGTTTAACTTTACATAATGAATAAAATAAATAACTATTATAATGAAGAAAAAAAACCTCACAATTTTTATTGACAGGTGTGGCTTTGGGGATCCACCAGAGCAGACAGTCCAGGCATATCACTGTGTGAATATAAAATGGAACAAACATGAAACATTCATCATTTTACCAAAAGAAATTACTCAGACCATGTTGCCCATGAGCACTGATACCCTTGCTTCACCTCTACAGCTTTCGATTTGGTTGAGGGACCCTGATGAAGATTGTACTGAGGCGACTGTAGAATTGTGTCATGACAGAGAATTTGCTTCTAGAGTACCAAGTTTACTGGAACTGACCCTAAGGACATATTATAGAGCTTTTTCAATGCCCCATAAAGCTGTTCAAGGTCAGGGACATCATTTTTTTCTCATAATATTGAATAAGGTTGAAGATGATTCATTTACATGATTAGTTTCCATTAAAAGTAGTCAAAATCAAGTTAAATTCAGAGCATAGACACCAAAACTAATGGAAAAAACATGTTCTTTATGAAAGTTTTATCATTGTTTAGTGGGTTAACATCTTTCATAATAATTGGAATTCCTCGGCTCTAAGACATAACTGAACTCTTTCAGATGACCCTGAAGTGACCTTGCCACAAACTGTGGAGCAACTGCTACACTGCCCTACAGCACATTGTAGTCTCTGCAGTGAAGTTCTCTTTGTAGCAGCTTTCCCATTCATTTACCAGGACAGCTTCTCTGTAGAAAAGCCAGATGACATATTTCATTTTCTTGGTCTTTGCTGTTCTGAACAATGTAAGTAAATAGTACAAATAACTGAAAAGTAAGAAGCGGGCAGACATGGATGTACTAATTCATGGATACCGCTAAAAAATACAGTATATACAGTGTGGAAGTGTGTAGCATTAATTCATGAATACACCAACAACTCAATACCCAGTGCTTCCATTAGATTTTGAATATCCCACTTTATGTACACATACAGTAATAGACTATGATTGAACTTTCCATTATTGTAAATATACATGTTCTTTTTACTACTATAAATGGAAAGAAGGTTATTTTAATGTGAAGTTGTCATGAAAACTCAGTTTCTTGAATTGTTGTCATTGTTTAAATGGCTATAAGGGATTGTAGGTCATGAAAAAGGTGACTCAGGTGGGTATTGAGCCGGAGGACTTCATGTTTTTTGGTTTTTTTTTTAAACTTTGTAATCAATGACTTTAAATGACTGACCAGTACATGTAACCAAAAAAAAATAGTTTTAAATATATTGTAATTCTTTTTTCTGAAGGTTTTCTTCAGCAGGCTACAGAGCAGTTACGATGAATTAATTCTAGACAATCTGAGACTTTGAAAGTTCCTGACCCGAGGACAGCTCAGTTTGGTATTGACTTCTCCCCACAGTAGCTCATGGGTAAATCAAATCATCAGTCCTACAACCAAGTTGCAATATTCCTCCATACTAGACTTCAGTTGAACAATCTGCTGTTGACATTTTATGCATGATAGACAGTGATAGTGAAAATAAAATGCCAATCCAAGAAAATTATACAAAGTATGGATTAACATACAGTCAGACCTTGTTATATCAATCTCTATGTGACTGAGAAAAAATTTCAATATCTCTAAGGACCCAAGAGATCAAGGGAAAAAGTCAATATGTGTTTGCCTTTGGGACTTCCAAATCACTGTGACATATTCATGGTATTCCAGATATCAGTGTTCTAAGATACTAAAGGTCAACAGTTACTTTGTTGTGCTAACTTTGAAGGAAATTGCCTTCTAACTTAGCATTTTTAAAGAGGAATTAAGTCATTAATCCCAAAGAGAGTTATCCCTCTTACTAGAGGGTCAATGAACCTTAAAATAAAAAGAGAACAAGAATACAGAAACAGTTTCATTCATCAAAGAATGGTGGATTTAATCCATTGTTACAACTTTAAAACATCATGTCATTAGACAAAATGTTTTGGTGTTCATTTTAATTGTATAATAAATACATGCAAGTACAAACATAAAGTGTGTTTTGTGGTACTTGATTGTTTTTTAAAGTTATTAGCTGTACAACAGCCATTTAAAAGAAAATTGCATGTATCCTTCCTGTTTCTAGAACATGCAGAAAGATACTAATTTATTTTTTCCCAATTAAATGTAAGACAATAATTTATTCTTTTTATTTGTTTTGTTTTGATTTTGATCAAATATGTTTTATGTAAATTGCATTTTGTTGGCAGGAAAAAAATTAAACAAATGAATATCAAAACAAATTTTCTTACTTATAAGATATAAAAAAAATATTGAAAGAAAACAACAACAAGCCAATAAAAAGAAGAAAATTTTCCCTAACTGTTTTTCATTACGAGACCTTGTGAGCAAATTGCCATAGTAACGGCCTGATTAATAAGACTGCTCTGATCAGCATTTTGAAGAGCCGAATCTTCCAATGTTGACTCTCTTTCGTTCACTTGAAAAACAATTGGCTGTGGATCAGATGAAAACTGTCTATCAGATCTAGAGACTGTCCCCTCTCCCAGGCTTGAAAAGCCTGCACTGGAAGAGGAAGGGATTAAAGGATTCTCTGTTTGTGGTGAAAGTCCCTGTGACTGGATAGCATGAGAGATTCCAAATGTCTCAATTTCTGTTTTTTCTCTTTTAAATGTCTCTGCCTCTGTTTCCGGGGACACTCCCATTTCTTCTAAAGTCATGTTAATGGCATTGTCAACGATTGATTTCGCAATGTGTTTACTCTGCCATTTCTGTAAATTATAAGTATTCCTGTCTCTATTTAGAGTTCTTTGGGGAACTGCAGTGGCATTTTGTCCAGTAGCATGACGCAGAGAAGACGGTGTGTCAAATATATCATTTTCTATGCTTCTGCGGGGGTTCCTATTAAAATTGGTGCTGATGTCGATGTCTGCAAATAGGAGTACCTGATTTCCATTTAAACTTTCTACACTTGTATCTGCAGAATCGTCACTTTCAATATCACTCGAATCCACATTTCTGTCATGATTGATCACCCTTTCTGTCAAATAATGTTCAACATTGCTACAGCTTGGTGTATTCTGAATTTGATCACTTTGGAATGCATCATCAACAGATGCCGAAAACCGTGCCCTTTTGCAAACAGTAGATTCATCTAAGACCTGTTCTCCTTCTTGAAGAACTTGTGTTGATGGTTCTTTTCTCTTTGATGGATGAGTTCTTGAATCCATTCCCCCACTACATTAAATTGACTGCAAAACAAAAATCAATACAGTGGCAATTTTTACACACTTGTACCATATGGGCCTACCATATATAACTTGGGCCATATGGAAGTACCATCTACACTGTACATTCATTTCTACCATTTTTAAAAATCATTCTAAACTTAACAATCCAAAAAATGAAGGAATACATACATATCATATAGTCGATAAAATATTCAAGTTTTACAAAATTGTTTTTGATAAAACTTTTGCAAGGGCTTATGCCATAAGTTATGTTTGTTTTTTTTTTTTCAAACGGCAGACTTTATAACCGTGATAACATTTGGTATTGATGAAAAAATACATATTGTATTTAAATTCCCTTGTAGTTATCCATGAAGCAGCTATATGAACTCCAATTTATTCAAAAGACATTGAATTAACAGCTTAATCTTTACTCTAGGGGCTGTCAGAATGTTGACGGTGTTTCATTGTTTACAATTTTGTTACCATCTGTTAACAATTTCAGCTGCGAACAAGACCTGTTTGATTCACACGCGCACTGAAATGTTCTTAAAATAATGCGTAAAATAAATATACTTACTGTTTTATACAAAGTCATTCTTATGGATAGATACAAGACATTAATTTTCAATAAAAATCTCGCAAATTAATGAACAAAATATTTTATCAAAACATTATCCACCATATTTATGCAAATAAAATTATTAACCAATCAGAGACAGCGTTACATTCTTTAACATTAAACAACTCGTTCCATGATTGAATTCCAGTCATTTTTCTCAAATTTTCCTTAAATGTATTTTACCGTTATCTTTAACATATAAAAGAAAACCGATCCATTTCCATTACCCTTTAATATTATTTTGGAGTAGCATCGTTTAAAAAAGAAGGGGTCCACTTAAGGTAGGACCAAATAGATAGGTCAAATTTTTCCTCAAATTCAATTTTTCTGAAACTTTGATATTTTGTTCTTGGATACAAAATCTCTCTTTATATATGATATGAAAGAAATTCAACCGCACATTGTTTGCCCACATAGTCTGAAATATGGCTTTTCAGACCCCTATAAGAAGATTGTGAAATCAGACATACGACTTGGGAATGAGCCTTATTTTAGAATTTTCTAATGATCTATTGCAAATTTGTGTAATACTTTTAATAAAGATAACCTTTTTGTTACTTTAAATCAGTAAGTCACATTGATACTGGTAAATTTGGGTAAAATATAAGTAAAATAGAACAAACCATGTGTCAGAAACTGAAAATTCACATGTAAATATCCGACAGTTAAAGTTTTCTGAAGAGAAAACGTATAATTCAATTTTTACAAAAAATCAACAGAATGATTCAAATGGGTCCTAGAATAAAATGTGTAAAAATAAATAAAATTGAACCGGTGGTTTCAGATATTTTGACGATTAAAAAAAATTCAATGACAAAAAAACTAAAAGATTCAGTAGATGATGTCACAATATTTGACCTTTGACCTCTTGATATGACCTTGACCTTTGTAGTATATAAAGAAAAGAGACTCCTTATATATATGTATCCAAATATCACCCCTCTTCTATTTATGGAACAAAAGTTGCAATGTTTTTTTATAACAGACTGTTACATGCTTGATTTTTGCACTTAGATAGCATAAACATATTCCAAAATGTAAGCTCCCAAGTGACCAATATATAGGATTCTCTGATTTTTTCACAAAATATAATGCAAATACGCCAAAACTTATTATTTTTCTTTCAGGGATCATTCATTGTTGTCAATATAGTAATAATATTCTTTTTTCCTCCAGTCCTTTTTTAAGAAATGGGTTAAAATAGAATCCACGGGTGTTTTGTCCTACCTTAAAAAAAAAACCGGTAACCCCCCCTCCCCCAAAGACAACTGTCCAAACTCGAACATACTAAAAGGGGAAGGGGGGGGGGGCAACTTCTTTTAGTACCAAATTTTATTCACACAATACTTAATAAGTAAACCCATATCTGAATATTAATAAATTAATTAATTTTGTTTCATGAAGTTTTGCGTTAAACAAGATAAGTTATTTCATTTTGTTGTATTACATTTTCCGCTGCTCTCAAAGCAAAAATTAAATGACGCAAAATTTAACGATATTACTAGCTGCAGATCCATGAGATCTGTAGCGTTATGGTTTTATGTATTAGTCTTTGACCATAACGCTACAGATCTGCAGCTACGATATTACATCCTGTGTTAATCTTGACGCAAAATTATTTTGGAAAAATGTTATTTGTAAATCAAAAATTTTATAATTCCATTATGCGTTATTACATGAAATGCATGTATCACAGGCACTTGTTTCGGTAATAAATTTTTAACCCATAGTATAATAATAACTATTATATACTATGGGTTAAAAATTTATTACCGAAATAAGTGCCTGTTGCATGCATGTATGAAACAATCCTAAAATTCTTTTTAAACAACTTGAATTGCAATATTTTGATCTCGATGCAAAATGTAAAAAGACAAAAAAAGAAGATTTTTATTGAATAAATAAAATTAAAAAAAAAAGAAAAAATAAATGTCTAAAATGAAAACAAGAAATTTCGGAAATGCAATACAAAACTCTGTAAATGAAATGCAGCAGTTTCCCCCCGTTCATCTCGTTGTTCTCGGTGATCTAAGGCAGTTGCATGGAAACTGATATGTGATCTAAACCATAATCCCTTGTAAATGATCATAACGCGTAATATCAAAGAGTACAGTGTTTAAGAGTCGTTATTCTAATACGTAAACATATTTTACGTTTTCTTATCTTTTCAAAAAAAAAAAAAAACTGTTCTAAAATAAGGAATAAAAAGGTTTACCTACATGCATATATCAATACAGTACACAACATCAGACGTATAACATCTTTATTTTAAGTGTTTCAATTAGATTTTAGAAAGAATGTGCTATAAATCCAGACATAAATTCGGTAATAAAAATATTAATGCGCTAGTATATAGTTTAGAAGCACACATTTCTTCCTAATTTTATTCACATTCATACATTAAGATCTCTAATCTGTAATACATTTGTAATGACTCAAGCAAGCAAAGTTTTAGGGAATAATTGCTGTTGCAAATTCAATTAAAAATTGTTTTTTTTGAAAAGATTCCAATGTAAGAAATTTTACTGTGTATGTGACAGTAAGTCCAGCGGCGGATCCAAGAATTCCATAATGGGGGGGGGGGGGGGGGTTAGAATGTAGGGTTTTCTTGGGACTGCATTCAAGCCCCCCAGTGTGTCTATGGCAAAGCCCTGATGGCAGTGGCGTAGCATCGTTTTTGAAAGTGGGGGGGGGGGCCCACCGGAGAAATTTTTTTTTACTTACCTGAAAAAGTTGGCAAGCAAAAAAAAAAAAAAAAAAAAAAAAAAAAAAAAAAAAAAAAAATTGAAAATTTGCCCAAAGAAAAAAAAGAGTTTTGGGGGGGGGGGGGGGGGGGGGGGGGGGTAGAGGCTAACTTTTTATCAGTGTCAACTATTTTCAGTACTTCTAATACTTCATTTTCGGTACATCACTAAATCTGGGGGGGGAGCCAAGTTTTCAATTAACATTTCCCATAGTATAGGTAAGGTTGGGAAAAAAAGTGGGGGGGCCAGGCCCCCCCTGGCCCCCCCTGTTGCTACGCCCCTGGATGGGACGGGGTCCGTAGAAGCCCCCGGAAAACTGACGGAATTCTAACAAATAAGAGGTGTTTTCCCCTTGATTTTAAGATAGTACAAACAAAATTTTAAAAAAAATTCTAACGGGAGGGGGGGGGGGGGGGCGCATGCCCGGCCCTGGACCCACCTTTGAGTAACTGTGTTGAAAGAGAGTGTGTGTGTGTGTGAGAAAGAGGGTGAGAGTGTATCTGGTTGTGTTTTCTGATTAAATAAATCAAATGTCTAGACAATGCATACATCCCGAAGCCCATAAATGTACCATGCCTGTTTTGAATAAAAATTAAAGTGACATTTCAATCCAATATAAACACTGTTAGTAAATGGTAACGATGAAGAAGAAAAACTTTCGAACATACCACTCTTGTCATAAATAAGCATGAAGTATTTTTACTAATTGTCCTGGAATGTTTTCCATAATTCTTAAACATTGCTGACAGAAATCTGATAGCGCCAAACGTATATAAAACAAACACAGCAGCCCAGCATAATAAACTGGGGGCGAGATATTGTCTAGGGGCTCCTATCTTGTTTATTTGCCTTTGTCCTTTATTTATTACACACGAACGTGCAGGAGGGCTTCCGGATTTACGAGTAAAATCTTCTGGAGCGAAGAAGCGTTAACTGTTAATATCTTCATTAGAACGTCTTGATGATAACGGTTTTTTATTTGATCTTCAATGAGTCTTGAAAATTACTATCTGAAGTTATTACTAAGTCTAAAGATAATGTGTAAATTTGAAAAATAAACGCTATAATTGTATGTATATTTAAAAATGATTATTCTCATGAACAGATTATATTGGATTAGGCATTAGCAATAGGAGATAATTACCATCGAAACATTTCGGACATCCTAAAAGTATCTGTAAATTAAATAGGAAAATGTAATTCATTTTATAGATATATTTAGTATCACTTTTTAAGGCTTATGTTATTCTAAAGCTTATTTTTTGTCAGAAGTTTATTTTTATTATATAAAAGAAAAAAAAAAGATGAAAAATTGGTTTTGGGGTCAAATCATATAGAAATCTAATTTTCAGTAATATTAAAGTACTGATCGTACAAACACCTCGGGAAATAAACTCTTAAATTCTCATGCCAATCGAAGATAAGACCGAGTTTGACTTTGATTAAATGCCTAAAACTCTTTCATCATCACACGGTTCCAATATGAATTTTCAAGAACCCTTAACGGTTATCTCGAAAACAATAAATATGCAAACTCAAGAGTAAATCCAGATTATACAAATACTGCCAAATTTTCCCGCTAGTTTTGTTCAATACATTTTTTTTGTTTGACATATTTCACCAGTAGCTTTGGCAAGGAGAAACCAGACACTTGGAATCTTAAATTAATATTTTCAATAATTTTGAGTTTTTGTGTAAATCCTTCAGGATGAAATGCGAAAATGTTGGTGTACTCTTGGAAGCGGGGCGCAAAGAATGAGAAAGAGATTTAAGTACATCAACAATCCTCCGCAGTCACTGTATATATCTTTTAAAATGGCTATATTCCTAAATTTCTTTTACAAATACTTTTTAAAAACTACAATTTTCAGCTTTTAATCCACATACCTTAGATTTTTAACTCAGATAAGGCAATGGAAACTAAAACACAAGTTAAACCATTCCACTTTTTTTCCGTCTAGCGTTCACATATCTTTCAAAAGTCCCCCCCCCCCCAAAAAAAAAGAAGAGAGAAATAAATGAAGAAAAGAAACAACCTGAAAAAATACAAACTGTATATAGTAATAAAAAACAGAGTTTTAAAGGAATTAATTTCATTTATAATTTATTTTTGAAAAATGAAAGAAATCTGGAATGGCTTTAAGGTAATTCGCTAAGTCCCCCATTCTCCCCAACTCTCTTTTTTTTTCTCTCTCTGCACGAATGACAATCTTAAATGACACATAGGTTAAACGTACATGTACATGCACAATATATGCAAAGTTCGGTGACAGGTCATGATACATGCAATAAGCACAGAATTTTCCAATGCATTAATGACCCCCGGTAGA